ATCTGCCGTTGCTGGATCCCAATTAGGCTTTGTCTTCCCGTATAAGCCCCACCCTTAACACGCTGACCATAGTTTCCAGCTTTCGTTTCTATAAAGCAGACAAGGAGCTGAATAATGTGAGGGCAGGTCCTTCTGGATGCTGATGACTCCTCGCCCCAGCCTTTTACGGTCGTCTCTCGCGCACACCTAACATGGCAGGAATCTTGACAGCGACTCACTTTCATGCTGTCCTGCCCCGGCATTCAGCTTGGTGTTCGTAGAAACGGTTCGGTTTCATTCCACACCCACGGTTCATCTGTTGGTACGTTATTTAATGAGATGAGGTCATGAAAATAACAAGCATAACAGGCAGCGTCAGGTTGGTGAACACGCAGCCCAGCTGTGGTGAACGGAGGCCTCGTGGGGCGGGAGCAGAGGTGACTGAGCTCACCGCCCGCCGGCGAGGGTGTTCTGCAACCGCATCAGAGAGCGAGCCTCCCGGCAGTGAGAGAGATGCTGAACAAGTGACTCGGTTAAGAGGAGGTTGGTTTAGAAGGCATCTATTACATTTCTTATTGTTTTGGACTTTTAAACACTAGGTAGGCATAGCACAGAAGTAAGCTCGTGGTCCCAGCAAGAAGCACCACAGCTTTTCTTGGCCATGTTGCCCTTCCCTGAGAAGCTCAGTGTGTTAGGTCACTAGAACTGTTGTGACAAAGGACCATGGGCCACATGGCTGAAAGGCAAAAAATGCATGGTCTCCCAGTTCTGAAGGTCAGGGACCAAAGAAAGATGTTGGCAGGGTTGTGGGGGATGGGTGTGTTCTGGGCCTCCCTCCCTGTGTCCTCACATTCACTCCCTCCACGTGTGTCTCTGTGTCCAAATTTCCTCTTTTTATAGGGACTCCTATTGTATAGGGCCCATCCTAAGGACTTCTCTTTGATTTGATTACCTCTATAAAGTCCCTATCTCAAGTAAGGTCACATTCTGAGGTACTGGGAATTAGAAGTTGAGCATAGGAATGGGGGGAGGGGCATAACTCCACCTACAACATTCAAGAAGGACCTACCCCAACCCGCAGAACTTGGCAACCAGCAGATTGACCCTTAACAGAATTCTGTTAACCAGGAATTCACCTTCAGGGTGAGTTAGAGAAGGTACACATGATGCCGAAGTCGTGTATTATGGCGGAGACAAAAACCTTGAGTGCTGTGCTTCTGATACCTTCCAATTATAAGTCAAGTTCAAGTAACTTGTTCAATATTTGGAGAGGAAACTGAACAGAGTAGAAAGAACTCAGATTTTGAATGTAGACATCATTATGATCAAATTCTGAGCTCCCTACTTATTCCCTATGTCATTTTGTGGCACTTTCTGAACCTTACAAATCCCTCTTGGGCTGTAAGATGGAGAGGATACAGAGAAACGGAGAGAATACGGGAGAAATGTCTGCAGCGGTTCCCTGAACACATAAGTGTTCATGAAATGTTAGGTCTTTCATTCCTCTTAACCTATCCAGAGTATTTTAAGTACTCTGGAAGTCCCCTTACCTGCTTCTTCAAATCCACGTCCGTCATGGCCCCAGGTTTGTCCATGGCATTCAAGACCGGGCAATGACTTCCCCATGCTTCTGTCTTGTGTTCAGTTTGTTTTGACCCCCATCGAAGTCGCCATTGAAGATATGAAGAAGAAGACGCTGCAGTTAGCGGTGGCCATTAACCAAGAGCCCCCCGACGCCAAGATGCTTCAGATGGTGCTGCAGGGTTCCGTCGGAGCTACCGTCAATCAGGTGAGCCGGACCGGCTGCCGGCACCTCCCCTGGGCCTTGTTCCCTGGGTTTTCATTATCTGTCTACACCCTCCTTCCTTGAGGTTGATGAGGAAGATGGCTCCATCCACATGTAAACAGTATCCCTGCACTTAGACCCAACACCTGTAAGGTGTAGAAGACGACACCTCTTGCCATGGTAGCAACGAGGCAGGGACACCTGGGTGGCTCAGTCAGTTAAGTGTCTGCCTTGGGATCAGGTCCTGATCTCAGGGTGCTGGGATTGAGCCCCGCATTGGGCTCCTTGCTCAGCGGGGAGTCTTGCTTCTCCCTCTCCCTCTGCCCTTACTTCACTTGTGCTCTCTCCCTCTTGCTAGCTTTCTCTCTCACATAAATATATAAAATCTTAAGGGAAAAAAGAAAGAAAGAAAAGCCATCCCAGACACGAGTGGACAGTAGGTAAGGAGTACTATTTCCACAGAGAGGTCTTCACTGTGAGGCCAGTCCTGACAGCGTGCTCTAGATCTGGGGTCCTGTTGCAGAAGGCTTGGTCATGCCCAGTATAGGCAGAGTTGTTGCAGAGTGTGAGGTCAGTCTAAGATCACCTGGTAAGGGAGAGGGGAAAGGGTCTAGAACATGCAGCCCCTGGGTCAGTCACCAGACAAATCCAGCCTTGCCAACCAGGAGTGACCAGGGACCAGGCTTCAGACCCAGCTGGGCATTCTCAAACCCCTTAGAATCCTTACCCCCAAACTAAACCAGTCTCAGATACAGGGAGGGCTGGACCACAGTTTCTGTCCAGTGGGCTTCCTTAACTACAGATCCAGATTTGCTCTTGTCTACACCTCCACTCCAAAACCCAGTGAGTATCATGACCTTTTCCTCACTCAGCACATCTGGACTTCCCTATAGAAATTGGGTCCAGAAAATATCAAGGGAGCAGAAATAGCACAGAGGGGAAATGACTATTAAATTTCCCAGATCAGGAAATATTAGGAAGTTTTTGCTTTACGTCCCAATCCTTTAATGAAAATGGAAGACTTTTATGAGCCCATAACCATGTACTGTGTGTATCTCTGACAGAAGCCAGCAATTACACAAAATGGCGCCCACCAGTAGGGCCACTTAACAAGTGAATGTGAAAGGATGAATCAAGACAGTCCTCAGTTTTAGAAAAGCCACTCAAAGTACATACCCTAGGATGTAGTAGTATTGCCTTTAACTACAAAGAAGAGCCTATTATTAGTATAGCATTTAATTAAGAAAATACATCTGGGGACACCTGGATGGCTCAGTGGGTTAAGCATCTGCCTTCATTTCAGGTCATGATCTCCAGGTCCTGGGATCGAGCCCTGAGTCGGGCTCCCTGCTCAGCGGGGAGTCTGTCCCTCTCCCCCTCACTTTCAGCCCCTCCTCCTCCCACTCCTGCTCTCTCTCTTACTCTCAAATAAATAAACAAATAAATCCTTTAAAAAAAACCAAATACATTTATACTTCTGAGTATTCTCCTAAATCTCTAGACTCCTAAGAAATCAAAGTTTCCTGAGAAGTTCAGTACCTTCCTTTGATTTTTAAAAAAATTTTTTTAAATAAAAAAAAAATTTTTTTCCTTCCTTGATTTTTTATTGTGGTCATGCTACCTACAGAATTAAATGTCCAAACTAGGAAGTCAATCCAAGATTTTCTCCCAAGTAATTTATTTTTTTCCCCCAATATCCTATTGTTCTGTTCCCTTTTCCATCAGGGACCACTGGAAGTAGCCCAAGTGTTCTTGGCCGAAATTCCAGCTGACCCAAGACTGTATCGACATCACAACAAGCTGAGATTATGCTTTAAGGAATTCATAATGCGGTAAGATGGACTAGGGCTGGGAAGGCAGCCGAGCAGCAGTTCTCAGAGTGGGGTCCCCAGAACAGCAACTAGGGCATCCCTGAGAACTTGCTAGACCTATGGAATCAGAACCCCAGAGGTGCTGACCGGTGGCTTGGGTTTTAACTAGCACTCTGGGGATTCTGATGCAGACTCACGTCTGGAAATCATTGCAGTAGATCAGCCTCATGTGTACTAAGTAACTGACATTGAAACTCTGTAGTGTTTTCACATTTACCGTCTTGTGTGCGCCTCCCACATCAAACCGGTATTACCACCAGCCTCATTTTGCCAAAAGGGGAAACAGAGGTTTGGAGATGGGAAATGGTTTTGCCTGAGGTCATGCAGCTAGTTAGTAGGAGAGCTGAGTTCAAATCCAAATCTTCTGAGCTGCATAGCCCACACCTCCATTCATGTGCTGACTGTCCACGAGGCTTTCAAGTCCAAGAGGGTGTTTTAGTATCATGCAATAACTTGTTTTTGGAATCTTAAGAATAGGACCTGCTTCCAGTTTGGTGAAAGCAGTTCTAACACTGGGCTTTTTCAAAAGTATCATCTCTCGGGCTGTTCCCATTGTCAGACAAGCCTCTGTGGGCTGGCATCAGGAGCAGCCCGTTCAGGCTGCATAAGAGTGGGTCTTCGAGCAAGGTCTTGCAAACTATCACAGCATAGACAGGTACAGCTGGGTGTCCTGTGGCCCTGAAATGAATGATGATGAAGGTTGGGATGACCTTTCACCCACAAGAGGGAACAACATCAGGAAAACGTGTACCAGTATTTCTTTTCAACCTTAGAGCAGCATATCAAGTGTAGGAATAAACTTACCTGGCAGATGGGGACTAAAGGAGGCTAAAAGTGAAAGTTTGCTAAATTCACTGGAAACTCATCGGCATGCCAGTGTTAAGATGAGAGGTCCCTCCTCCACAGGCGTCGGCCAGAGGTTTGCAAACCTGCTGTGTATGGAGACACACTCGTTCTGTGTGCACACACCCACACACACATATGGCCTATACACAGATATTATATTTATTAATATTTTGGGATTTGAATTGCTTCCTGTATCTGATAGCAATTCTGACATTACACAAAAGCTGCATTTTCTTTAGTAAATAGTGCCTTTTTACGGAACAAAAAACTAGAAAAATACTGTAGGAATTTTTAAAAATCTCTTTCCTTTCCATTTATCTTCATTTAAAATTAGTTATGTGGGGACACCTGGTTGGCTCAGTTGGTTAGGCGCCTGGCTCTTGATTTTTGCTCGGGTCATGATCTCGGGGTCCTGGGATGGAGACCTATGTGGGACCCCATGCTCAGTGGGGAGTTTGCTTAGTGGGAGATTCTCTCCCTCTTCCTCTGCTCCTTCCCGTGGCTTGCAGTCTCTCTCTCTCTCTCTCTGAAATAAATTTTTAAAATCTTTTAAAAATAGGTAAAATGGGGGCGCCTGGGTGGCTCAGTGGGTTAAGCCTCTGCCTTCGGCTCAGGTCATGATCTCAGAGTCCTGGGATCAAGCCCCGCATGGGGCTCTCTGCTCAGCGGGGAGCCTGCTTCCTCCTCTCTCTGCCTTCCTCTCTGCCTGCTTGTGATCTCTCTGTCAAATAAATAAATAAAATCTTAGAGAAAAAAAATAGATAAAATGAAATAAAATAAGTTATGGTTGAAGGCCCCTGAAGTTGGCAGTGGCCCAGGCCTGTCTGGCCCTCTGGAAGTACTTCAGAAATGTTTAATGAGACAGAGTATGGCCCGGGTTTGATATCAGTTGTGGGAAGACAGGAGCTGAGTGTCCCTCTAGTCCCGACAGGACCCCATGTCCATGACCGAATGCCAGCCCAGGGCAGCTCACTAGCCCCTGCTGAGAGCGCAGGAAATACAGGGCTTCGGAGCTCAGAAAGGGATGGTCTGTGACATGCTGGAGGCTGGGGAAGCCTTCACTTAACCTTCATCTGGAATATTTAGGTAGAGCAAAGGAGATGGTCAGACATGGGAGCCATGCCTGGTAAAGCGACGGACCACAGAACCTCGGGGGTGCCTCTGGGTGCCTCTGAGTCAGCCAGAGTAGTGTGTTCTGGAAGCCTGCGAGGGCCAGAGGAGAGACCAAAGACAGCCGTATTGGCAGATGGGGCTCGGACAGAGTGGAAGTGTAAAAGCAGCTTCGTGAAGAGCTGACGGATTCGGCGCCCTAGTCTGTGGCTCATACCCTCAAGGCAGCAGGAGGCGAGGAGACCTTCCTTTCCCCTCGCCCCCGTTGCTTAATTGCTTCTCAAGTCCCCTCAGCAAGTTCCAGGCTTTTAAGAACCAGAGTCAATGTTCTGTCACATTATTTGCACCCGGGTATTTCCCCCTGGCTCTCTGCTTCCGATGGCCAGACGAGGTGACGCAAGACTGGAAGATTCTGGGGCTGGAACAGCTCTCGGGCTTTCCCGTGGAGGACCTCCCACTCCTTGGCAGACCCGAGCGGAGGGTTGATAGCCCAGATTTCCGGGCTGAACGCTGTGAGCCCTCTGACGCCTCTTTGCTGAGCGCGGAAACGCAGGCCTGCCGGGTCCCAGGCAGTGGGCAGTGAGGGCCCGGCCCTGGGCGTGGCCTTGGACTCGGCTGTGGCAGCAGCACCGGACTGGCCACAGAGGATGTGGCAGGTGATGCTGCTCATGGAGCCGGTCCCAGAGCTCCTCAGCCTGTTGCCAGGTCGGGACCTTGATCCCCTCCTGCCTTTTCCTGCAGTAAGAAGAAAAAAAAAATCCCAACACCTCAGGGTTTCAGAAGCCAAGATGGTGAAATACACCATCTGTTTCCTTTTCTGCTCCCCAAAGTACTCAAGCTGTTTCAGACAGCGCGGCCAGAGCCAATCTGGGTGTTTAAATTTTCTTCCATTTTTGCCTTAGCTCAGCCAGTGTCACCAAATACCATGGACCGAGTGGCCAGATCAACAGACTTTCATTGCTCACAGCATTGAAGGCTGGGGAGGCTGAGATGGAAGGTGCTGGCGGGCCAGGCTCCGAGGCAAGCCCTTGTGCTGGCCCGGCCCCCTCACGGGGTGGAGAGAGAAAGAGGAAGAAAGCTCTCTGACAAGGGCACTAACCTGACCCCGTGGGTCCCATCCCCACGGTAATTCACACCAGAACTCCTCTGAAAGGCCGTTCCTCCAAATACCATCACGTGGGGTGTTAGGGCTCCAACATCGGAATTTGGGGAGGCAGAGAACACAAACCTTCAGTCCATGTTATCTGAACGCTCCCAGCCTTACAAGGACTAAGAGATCCTTCCATTTATTTTTATGTTGCAATAAAAGACCACGCCCTCCACGGCACCCTCACAAGTGGTCTTTAGGGGAAGTAGTTCCTGCCACACCCAGACGGGCTCCTTCCGCACCGGTGGTCCCAGAGTCAGGACCCGGCCCACAGAGCGATGGTCACACAGCAAGTAAGTGGCAGGACCAGGACTGAAATTCTTACCGAGGACAGGCTGCCCTTGGGGTCTGGGGTCTGGTCAAGGCCGCCCAGGGAGGGAGGAGGGGAAAGGGCTGAGTTGGAGAAGACCACTGGGGAGGGGTGCCTGGTGGAGCCATGGCCCTCTCACACCCGATGGTAGGCGACCACCTCAGCCCCTGGTGTCCTGCCCCCACGTGATCCTTCCTTGCCTTAAGGGGCCTGGAACCCAGTCCCGGAGGGCGGGAGGGAATGCAGTCCCCCGCCTCTCCAGTATTGCTGCCAGACCCCCACCGTTCCAGCAGTTCTGTTTCTTTCCTGGGCCTGGAGTGGAGGTTTGCTAAAGAGGGACAGGGAAGAAGCTGAGAAAGGCAGAGGATGACAAACTGGGGCTCCAGACAGAATACTTCCAACTTGAGACTGAGGCCATATGCCTGGATTCTAGCTGGAAAGGCCAGCAACTTCCCAGGTAGAGTACACGGTGTCCAAGTTAGCAGTGTGAGCTCCTGAACCAGGCTGCCGGGGTTCACAGACCCACTGGGTCTTAACTAGCCATGTGACCTTGGGCATGTTGCCTGGCCTCACTTTCCCCAACTTTAAAATGGGAATTGTATGTATTCATAACTATCTCTTAGACCTAGTGCCAAGATCTGCTGAGTCAACACACAGAGCTCAGGACAGGGCTGGGCACACACTACGTGACCGACCAATGGAACATCATTTGGTGGGGCAGAGAGCAGATCAGTCTGAGGAGGAAGCAGAAATTTACCCATCTGATTTAAATATAGATGTCCACCCATGACTCGGGGGCCTCAAGTTTGTACCATAGACACAGTGGGGCAGAGGACACATGAGTGGGAGAGTGCCAGGTCTCTGGATTTCCACCTGACTCTGCCGTTCCTGCAGGTGTGGGACTCAGGAAAGGCCATTCCATCTTTGCATCCTTCATTAACTGTGAAAAACAAGGGACAGGAGTGGAAACGCTCTACTACTTCATCATCCTCCTATGGGACAAATCGTTTCTGTGCTCAGACTGCGTCCATCAGGAATCATAACCATAACAACAAGTGTTCTTACTCCAACATTCTAAGCATTTTGTATGTTTTCACTCATTTAATCCTTACAAGCATGACCAGGTTAGCTATTATTATCGCATCTGTAGCACAGGTAAAGAAACTGAGGCATAAGTGCCCAGCCTCGTGTCACAAAGCTGATACGCCACAAAGCAGGATTCAGAGTCTATACCGGTAACGACTATGCTGTGCTATTCTCTTTAGGAACTGTGTTCGGTTGCTCATAACAGAGAACTGAAGAAGGAAGATGGCTTAAATAACATAGGAACTTATTTTTTTTCTCATAAAAGTAAGATCAGAGATAGTCGTCCCAGAACTATGTCATCCTGGCTCTCTCCATTCTTTTGCTCCACCATCCTGATTGTAGTGCATCCGTCCTCACAGACACAAGATGGCTGCTTGGGCTCTAGCCATCATGACCACATCCTCGGAAAATATCAAGAGCAGAAATGAGGAAAGAGCAAAAGGGCTGTGCCCCTTTAAAGAGCTTTCCTGGTGACTTCATTTTGTATCTCATCAGCATCCCTATCTGTTAAGGGAGGCTAGGACCTGTAACTTCCCAGGGAGACTCACCAGATGGAGTTCTGTTATTAGAAAAGAGAGAATGGATTGAGGAAGGAACTAGCAATTGTTGGCCATCCCAAGGGACTGATGTGAGGACTGTGCTAGAGGAGCATCCTAGAGGAGGGAGGCCAACAGATGCAGAGATGGAGGGCTACCTGATGACTCTCTCTGTAGGAAAGACACCTACCTCCTTATGGAGAGGCCACCAGAGGTGACTGTCTACAAAAGCCAGGAATCATGTTCTGGAGATAAAATTTCCTTCCTCTCAGTCTGGTTTCTGTAGGATTCTGAGTTCTGGAACCCCCCAGGCACCTCTGCTATAAGAAAATGCTTGTGTTCAGTGACCTGATCAACAGAGGGGACAACCAAAGAGCTGGGATGGTGGCGTCACTGAGTGAGAGCGGCACAGTCTGTGTCCTTAGACAGTGTGACAGATAAGGTCACTTGAGCAATCATCCCCATCGTAGATCTATGATGTTGTATAGATTTCCAGAGAGAAATAGCTCTTCTGGAAGAGGTAGATTTCGTGCATGGCTCTCTCATTAGTTTATGGATTTAAATCAACATGATGGTGGAGTATCTGCTGGCTCAGTCGGTTAAGAGTCCGACTCTTGATTTTGGCTCAGGTTTATGATCTCAGGGTGGTGAGATCGAGTCTGGTGTCAGGAGGCTGCTGAAGATTCTCTCTCCCTGTCTCTGTCCTCTACCCACCCCATCAGTTAAGCATCCAGCTCTTGATTTCAGCTCAGGTCATGATCTCAGGGTTGTGGGATCGGGCCCCCTCATTGGACTCTGTGCTCACCTCGGAGTCTGCCTGTCTTCTCCCTCTGTTCCTCCCCACCACTGCCTCCTCTCTCTCTCTCTCTCTCAAATCAATAAAAATAAAATCTTAAAAAAAAAAATCTAGAGTATAGAATCCAAATGGAGGAAAGGAAGAAATACAGAAAATGTGTATGAAACAATTCATAAACTATAAAATTCGATAAAATATAACTTGATGTTACTATGACAACATCTGAAAAATTTTTACCCCACCTATGAATATATTCATCTTTGTAAAGCGCTGTGTTCATCTGTCGCTCTACAACGAGTTACCTCCAGACTTAGTGGGTGAAAACAACAACATTTAATTATTATGCTTAGGGCTCTAGGGGCTGGTGGGCTCAGCTAGGTGGTTTTTGCCCAGTCTCTCGGTGGCCCCCAGGCCGCGGCTGTGGCCTGAATTACCTGAGGTCTTCCTCACTCACATGTCTGGTGTCTGGGCTGAAAAATGCTCAAAGAGCAGGTGGTTCGGGACTCCAGAGGCACGTGTCCCAAGAGACAGAGCCAGGTAGAAGATACACTGACTTCTTCACCCCGTCACAGAGGCCTTAAAGCATCCAGCCAGGTCCAGGACACATGGCACACCTTCAGAATGTGCCAGCTGCCTCTTAACTACTTTGGACCACAAAGACTAGAGGGAGTTTAGTTCATTCCCCACAAGTTTTCAGAGACACTCCCAAGGATGTGGTCAGCCCCCGCACGACCCTACAGTCTGCCGATGTTACAGACCTGGACCTTGAAGTCATCCTGAAACTGATTGGATTTTGCACACTGATTTTACAGCGGCTTTTACGGATTGGATTTTACACACATCCTGAAACTGATCAGATTTTATTGCTTTTTAGTTCAGAAGCAATAAAAACATAGGGGCTGGTGGTGATTTCTCAGGATTCAGAGGTTCTGTACCATCCCTTCCCAGCCCTACCTGGAAGCTTCGATATGCAACCTTGGACATCCTACAGTTTGCTGCAGTTAACATCAAACTTGAAAGACTGGTGAAGGTCCAGTTAGGCGAGTTCTGGCTTCAGGCTGAGTTAAATCGGGGCTAATTGTGTGGGAAAGCTGTGGTCACGGGTTTATTTTTGCCGAGGCCAGATAGCTTCCCCCCGTCCTGTGGCCACCTTCCACCCTGTTTGCCTTCGGCTGTCACGCTGAGAATGTGTTCAGTGGTAATACAAAGGCTTGGGGTCACAAGGTCTGGGTATCCCCATGACTCATCCCAGGTTTAACCTTGCAATTAGGAAAACAGTTTAAACCACATTGATCACCAGGGCCCCATTCATCTGCAGGGCAATAAAGAATTATTACTAATTTTTGCATGTCAGCTGGGTTTTAACCATTATGATGTCCCTTCTAGGTCTGTAGATGTGTAAGTTTCCTGAGGTAGCACAGCCTAAAATAAAAGGCAAGACTCTATCATGTTTAAATAATACGGTTTTCTTCTTTGGTATGTAGTGTACTCTGTGGGAGACCGTGGAAACACTAGGCTTAGCTGTTTACAAGTTAGGTCAACACAGTGAGCTTTCATGATTTTCTTTCTGATGCTTTGCAGTTTCACCATGTGGAGCTCTGTAGGGATCTAGTTCTGTCAATGAGAGGATTTATGTCTGTTTGCAATTCTGGAAAATCATCAGCTGTTATCTCTTTTAAATGTTGCCTCTTAATTTTCATTCCCATACAGAGTCATTTAGATGTGGGCTGGGCATCTCCATTCTATCTCCAGGTTCTTTTTTTTTTTTTTTTTTAAGATTTTATTTATCTGAGAAAGAGAGAGAAAGCTTGGGTTGAGGGGAGGGGCAGAGGGAAAAAGAAAAGCAGGTTCCCCGCTGAGCAGGGAGCCCAACAGAGGGCTCA